GCAGTCGGAACGGGTAGGGGGGGGCTCTAGGAAAACCGTGAGCAGAGAACCCGCAGCCATACCCACACGACGCCCGGAATCTTCAAACTTGCCACCCCCAGCCTCTTTGTGGTGCGCTGGGATGTTCGGGACAGGGTGTTCCATCGTAGGGCGCAGACCCCCGTCGCAAAAAGTGCACATCATCGTAGGTCCCGAGAACTTCACGAGACCACGCGCGGCCAGTTCCTCCTTGGTTCCCACGGGCACGGCCGCGAGGTTGTCGACCGTGGTCTCGATGGCGTCGTCCGCTTCTATGAGCACTTCGCCAGCGTACTGGCCGCACGGGACCACGTTGATTTTAGTCGCCCTCGAGTCCAAGCGGAAGCGAGATCTCTGGCCAGCTTGACGGACGCCAAGGGTTTCCTCAGTATTACCTCGAGGTCACCCCTCGTAACAGGATTCTCCATGCGCCCCCTCGGCTTGCAGGGCGTCGCAAGCCCAGTGACGCACTGCGGGAATCAAACACGACACGTGAATAGAAACGAAGGCCACGCATCTGCCCTTCCGCTATACAGCTTCACACCGTTCTCGATTTTCACATGCAGGTAGCTGTGGCGAACGGCGTCGCCTCCCAAATTTAAAAGTCCCGCGTGCCTCCTTCCTCCAGCGCGTTGCCCTAGCATGGAACCTCGAGGCGCCGCTACCAGGCGAGCCTGTCAATTCGCGTTGCGTCGACATGCCTGGCGCATTGATCGAAGAAGAAAGAACGGCATCAACATAATCTTTTGGCGCTCCGCGCAGATATCCTGGATCCGCGCTGGGCCCCCCCCCCCGGCGGCGCCTCCCGCGCCGCCCCTGGCGCGCGCCGCACGCCATCCAGCGCAGATGCAATCAATCTGCGCGGAGCGCTAACAGTGTATGTTTCTTATTGTTTTCTTCTCCGAATTGACCCGCGCACGATCAGCACCCGGATGCCACGCGAAAGCCTGGACCTCGTCAGCCCCTCCCCGCGCGCTCCTTGCTGCGCCCGCAGGGGGGAGAGACCTCCCGCTTCCGCGCGCCGCCCCGCGAAGTCGAATTTCCCCCGAGCGGTAGTGTCTGTCTGTGAGGGTTCATCGGCCCGGAAGCAGGAGCGGTCGGGCCGGGCCTCGGTTGCATCGAGCTTGAGGTTTGAGTCTTGTCCAGCACCCCTCGTGATTACTTCGGGGGTACTAAAGTTTTTGACCATAAGATGAGAATTGCCTCGCTGGTCACGCGTGCCGCGGCGGACCGATCAGGATGCAAAGGTGCCTTGATGCGGATTCGCGAGCCTTTGTGGGCCCTCTGGGACGGCCAACCAGTGAACCGAGAGCGACCGCATTAGAGAAGGATGCCCAGGGTCTCACAACATCAATGCAACAAGGAATACAATGAAACATCGCGTTGGCATGATAAGGACAGGGTCGATGGGGATGATGACACGGACGATCAAACGTGACCCAAGCGGAGTGGTTTACTGTGAATGGGTTCAAGTCGGAGTGTTTTCCGGCCCTATTTTAAATGGGACGGAGTAATTATCACCCTGTTTTAAATATATATAGTATTATATTCTTACAGGGTGAGAGCCCATCGGAGTCGAACCGCCGCCCGACCCAAAACATGTCGCTAAGATTCTACGGGGGGGCAGGGGGCGTCGAGAGCATGACGTCTTATGGTCAAAACTATAGTACCCCCCGTGTATGATTTTCCGATGGCAATTCATGGGAGCCTGGTATACCCTCTCAATTCCGTCTTCAGCGTCGGGTAGCGTTGATTCGCGTCTGGAATCGATGAGGTAGCGCCGATTTAGCGCCGATGAGCGTCGACTATCGTCGATTGCGCGTCGATTGGCGTTGATTTCGCGTCGATTAGCGCCGACGAGCGTCGATTCGCAAGAGCCGACACGATGGTATGGGAGGCTTCCATGAGTTGCCACAGAATTGTTTGTGGCCTTCAGCCCATCCCGCCGCCGCGCTTGGGCATTAGGCACGGGGCTGTCGAGATGCCCCCCTCCAACCACCAACAGTCCCCAAGAAGCAACCGCAACGATTCCTGGAGGCCTCATCAGAAGCCCCCCGAATCCGCTTCAAAAACAGATCAAGAGGCCCCCGAAAGGCTCCGAGAGGTTCCAATTGCGCCCGAAGGTAGTTGTCACAAGAGACGGGACGGGAGCCATCTTAGCGTGGATGGCTCGAGATGTGAATTCGGATCCCCTCAAGGGCGCCGTGTTACGGCGATGTCGGCAGCTTTGTTCCTGGGCCACGGAGCAGGGCAGATGCGTTTGCCCTCAGGTTGGCGCAAGAGGCCCCCGCGATAATCCCGGGGCGTCGGGTTTATCAGGCCCACGCCTGAAGTTCTTGACCCCCTTCCTTGAGACCGCCGTCTCAAATCCGGGGCCCGTTTTCCAATGACATGGGGGACTGAGGCGGGCCACACGGAGGCAAAATTGATTGAAAGTTGGGCCGTCCCGTCTTTTACGCGCGATTGCGATCTCGGCTGGAGTTTTTTGAATACCCCTTGCGATCATGGCCGTGGCGCGGGGGGGGGAGGGGGCGGGCCACGTCGCGATTCGCGCGGGTGCCGTTTGGGCATGCTGAAGAAGGGCTCGTTCCCAGACGGCGGCCGCGCGAATCGTGACGTGACCAGGGGAGGCAGGGGGGGCAGCGGCGGGGCCAGTCACGGGCATTCTCGCGGATAAACAGGACGGGTCCCTGAGCTGGGCTGGAAGGCAACGCAGGGGAAACCAGGTGGGTATCATGGAGAGGCGTAGTGTTCAAAATCTGTTAAAAATTGAGGCCCCCCCTCTCCCCTCCCCCCCCGGGATCCCGACTGCCGTGAATTCGCCGCCGAATAAGTCGTTTCTTCATGCCCCCTCCCATGGAAATTGTTCCACGGAGACCGAAGGATGCAGCGATACAATTGATACATATACACCTGCACATCTATATATCTAGATATATATATATATATATATATATATATATATATATATATATATATATGTATATATATCTACACACGCACTCACGCGCATGCATTGGTGCATGCGCGCGCGGGCGGGTTCGCAAGGGGGTGGTTCCTGAAAGCAGTCTCTGTCCTCGTCTGGGTCGCAGCTGCGTGGCAGGCGTGGCCTGACGCCAACGAGTGGCGCGCAGGAGCCTGCCCCCGAGCACGGAGCGCGCCACGGCGGAGAGGGAAAACGTTCCCGGCAGTCTGGTTTGCACCGCCCTTTCTCTTGTTTTCCATACGCGCTCTACAAAACTGGAAATCACTAGGTCTTTTTTTATTGCCCCCCAGAAATTGCTGCTTTTTTGTTGAAAGATTACAATTCCAGCACCCCGTGGGGCCGGGGCGGCAGGTCAGGGCTGCCTTTGCGGCAGAGTCGCGCCTGGGCGCTCAGGGTTGATTCCCTCCAGTGGCCCGGAGTCGTCCACCATGGAATGATCCTGCGGTTCAAAAGCCGCCGATCGTTCAAGTCTGCGACCGCTTGCCAACCCTACCCCTGCGGATCCAATCGGCGCTGGCGTAACTATCGGACACGCCCGCTGGGGTTTCACCTGGCTGCAGACGTTATTCGAGTTCTGAGCCCCAGCCGATATTTTAGGACTCTGGCTTGCAGGGTTGCAGGGTTGCAGGGTTGCGGGGGTGGGGTTCACACCTGCCTGCCTGTCAAGGGTTGAGCGATCCACGCGGTGCCAGGCGGCAGCGCTGGGGCCGTCGTGACACGAGCCTGCCGTGGCCCCGCTGCCTTCCGCCCGCGAGGTCCAGACCGTGGCGGGGGCGGCTTGCGGCTCCTTGGCCTTCCTGGGGCTGTCCGTCTGCGGCCTGGAGACTCGGAACTGCGAGGCTCAGGGGGGGGGCCTTCGTCGCGAGCCGAGCGGCCCGGCGGTCCAGGCAGTTCCTCTCGGGCCGGACAATCGGGGGGGATTGGGAAAGGGGGGGGTACGAAATCTGCTGCATGCAGCTGGTTTCGGCCCGCCCCCGGCGCCGGGAGGCGCCAGGAAAATCAGCTATGTGAGCTGATTCTCAAACCCCCCTTTTGCTATCCCCCCCTTTCGCCCGGCCCGATCCTCCCTGATGGTCAGGAATCTGTCGGAAGCCCGGCAAGGGCTGCTGAATCCGGGCCGCTAACATCGGCCTCCGGGATGTTGTCTTCGTCCTTCCGGGAAGAAGCCCGTTGATTGTTTCGCGTGCCCCGCCTCATTCCGGGAAGTTGTTTTGTCCTTCCGGGAGGGCCGTTTTGGCAGCCACGGTTTTAGCAGCCCTCGCCCAGCTTCGGAATCTGGCTTGGCGTGCCGCTTCCCCGGTTCGGCGCGACGCGGTGATGACCTCCGTCGTGCCCCGCGGGCGGCAAAGTCCCGCTGCTCCCCGAGCCTCCCGCTCCTGCGGAGCGGAGCGGCCCGCTGCCCGCTCGCGCACTGCGTGGCGTGCCGCTGGGGCCTGCCGCGGCGGCACGCTGCGCAGGAGTTCCTGACCGTCGTGGGCAGTGCCGTTTCTTCGATGTCTGCTGATGGGAGCCTCGGGAGGCGACCTTGAAATCCGCTTCTCCTGCATCTGGACCGCACAATTATGGCATGTGGCCCTGTCTCCTGCTCCTCCTCGCCCTCCCTGCTCCCCCTCCCCCTCGTTCTTTTTTTCTTCTCCCTTGTGAGCGGGCGAAGCCGGTCCAAATCCGGTCCCAAATGTGCTCCAAATCTGGCCCAAATCCAGCCCAAGTCGGTCAGCGCCGGGGGCCACGTGGGCTCCCGTGGAACAGACACCAAGCGTGTCTTTGCCAGGTCAGTTTTTCCGTTTTGCTTCTGGCGCCGTCGCCGGTCTGTGCCCAGTCGCGTCGCCGTTGTTCTGGTCCGTTTGGTGTGACGGTTCCTTGTCGGGTACCATGTTTTGTTTGTTTTGGTGCCCGCATTGTAGCGTTTCCCATGATCAACATCCAGATTCTACCAGAAACGGTCAGAAGACGGCCTTGCCGCTTCCAAGACCCATTGGCTTTGATTCTCCTTTGAAAAAGTGAGGTAGGTTCTATCACCCTCCCCCCCCCAGACATATCCACCCCCCGGGAACCTATGTAAAATACATCGGATTCTGACCCAATGTCCATCCTACCTGTGAATTCATACTATCCCTGCCAGGCCGGTATCACCCCCCCGCCACCCTCTACAAGAAATATTATTCGCGACCACACGGTTATCACAAATCATAAGTTTCCAAGAGCCCCTTGCAAACAAATTGACCAAGTGCACACGTCGCGCGCGCATGCTGGAATCCTCCAAAACTTCTCGGTTTCGGAAGGATTGCAAAATCGAGTAAGCACAGGGTTTCGCAACACGGATTTTCAACAAAAGCGTGCGCGCGCGTTCTTGCGAATTCTTAAGACAACCATTCTCAACATGTTCAAGAACATACTGCCAAACGGGCTTCGCGCTCGCGCATGTCGAAATCGTTCGAACGCCCTTGCGCGCGTGCCCTCGCGAGAATCTCTTGCAACAAATCAGACGAAGTGCACACGCGAGCGCCGTGGCGCGCGCGCGCATGCCGAAATCCTTGAAAAACCTTCGGTTTCGGAAGGATTTCAAAGTCGAGTGTCAAACAAATATTTAAACACACAGGGTTTCTCAATACGGATGTTCAACAAAAGCGTGCGCGCTCTTGCGAATTCTTCAGAAAGCCAGTAGTTTTCAGCATTTCCATCGCATACTACCAAGCGGGCTTCGCGCGCGCATGTCGCAATCGTTCGGTCGCCCTTGCGCGCGTGCTGTGGTGGCACTATCCGTGTCAAATATTACCATGCGGGCCACTCTCGCGCGTCTGCCGCGCGCGCATTTCGAATTCCTTCCAAAACCTTCATCACCGACGCGAAGACGCCGTCACCGTTGTTGGCGTAATCGGCATCGGCGCTGGCATCGCCACTATCATCATCATCATCATCATCATCATCATCATCATCATCATCATCATCATCATCATCATCATCATCACCATTGTGTCTGCAATTGTCGTCACCAACATTGCCACTATCATCGTCGTCGTGTCTACAATTGTCGACTTTGCCATGACACCGCACCCGCCCAAGCCGCCGACTCGCACTCAAATGCCGCACTCATGACTCAAGCGCCATGACCCGCCGCCCGCTGGGATGTGCCGAGCGGTCAGCACAACCGCGGCCTCGCCGGTCGCGCCAAACTACCTGGCCGTTGTGCGCGCGCATGCGCGGGCTGGCGCGGCCGCAGAGATGCACCAGCCAGCGCCAAGCACTCATCGCAATCGCCGCCGCATGAGCTTTGCAAAGCAAGTTGCGGGTGGGTAGGTGGGATGTTTGCGCGAGCAGTGGAGTGGACAACTCACTGCGAACAGAAAATATGTACCTTCTCATCACTTCCACCAGAGGTTTTTGCCCAGAGGCCGTTCGCCAGCTGCTTACGTCCTTTGGGGGCCTTTTTGTGTCTGGCCCTGGGGCCTTGCGGAGTCAATCCGGGATGAACAGTTGTTGCATGGCAAAGGTTGGTCCCAGCAGGACTGATCTTGTGAACCGATCTGCGGGTACGGGAGATGAGGAGTTCGGAGGAGGAGGATGAAGCAGTCTCCCTCCTTGCCCCTTTTCCGCTCCTACCTCCATCTCCTTTCCTCGTGCCCCTGCCTCCTCGCTGGAGATGGGGGAGCCGCGAAAAGGGGGATCCTCCTCCTCCTCCTCAGGCTACGGTCACTTCTCCTCTTCTTCCTCCTCCTCCTTCTCCTCCTCCTCCTCCTCCTCCGCCTTCTCACCCTCCTCCTTCATCCTACTCCTCTTGCTTCCCCTGCTCATCCCCTCCCTTCCCCTGCTTCCTCTCCTCCTCCTCCTCCATCCTGCTTCTCTTGATTCTCCTGCTCATCCCCCTCCTCCCCCTGCTTCCTCTCCTCCTCCTCCTCCTCCTCCTCCTCCTCCTCGTCCTTCCCCCACTCGAAGCCTCCAGAGACCTCCGGAAGCCCCAGGAGAGCTCCCCGGGGGGGCTCCCGATGAGAGAGCCTCGAGGACCCCGCCTGCCCCCAGATGCGTCCGAAGCGGCTCGCAACCCCCTTCCGAGGGACACCCGATGCTGTTTGGAAGCCTTTTTGAGACCCCACATGGGCCCATTTCTCATGACACGCTGGTCGTTGAAAGTAGGATTTCTGGGCTCCCAGATCCCAATCTACTCCACGCTCCTTCCTACTTCCTGCGCGGGCCTGAGCCACATCTACTTTATCCGTCTGACGACGTCATGTCTTTACCTACTTCTTTCGACCGACGTGTATTCGCGGTATCGCTCGTGGCCTGCCCCGCCACCCTCCTCCCCCTCCCTCTCCTGGTCACGTCACGATTCGCGCCACAAACTCCTGGGAACGAGCCCTTCTCATGCATTCCCCGACGGCGCCGGCGCGAATCGTGACGTGACGGGCCTCTCCCCCCCGGTCTAGTCCGTTGTCGCCAGGGGATGAGAAAAGATGGGGTCCATGAGTGGGCGAAGGACAAAAAGAAAATCCCGGCAGACCTGATTCCCGTGCAATCCGCGGCCCAGGAGGTCTCAACCGTTATTTCCCCTGGGGGAGCTTTTCGTCTGGGCGCTTCGCTTGAGGGTAACAGTTATGCCCCGACGAATGTCATCAATGATCTAGGCCCCAGATGGGGTCGTTCTAGATGGGGTCGGAGGATAGCGCCGCATCGCCGATGCATCTGGGATGCAGCTCGCTGCGGAGCCAGACCCTCTCCACGCCGGCGTCGGCGATGCATCGCCGACGTCACCGATGTATCGCCGATGCATCAGCGATGCATCGGTGATGCGGCGTGGTCCTCCGACACCACCGATTCGGACCGCATTCGGGTGCCCTCTGAAAGAAGGGCAACACCACGCGACAGGTACACACATATACACCTCTGTATGTATGTATAGAGAGATAGATATCACCCATACATATATATATATATATACATATATATATGTATATAGATGTATATACAGATATAGTTCTATAAATCTGTATATATATGTATATATATATAGAACTATACGTTCCCATTCACACGTTTCGATTACCTGGGGCGCCCCCCCTCGAAAATGTGACCCCCCGAATCCTGGGCCCCCGGGACCCCCTGGGCCCCCGGATCGTTGGCCCCGGGGGCCCCCTGGACGACGTCCTTGCAGGACCCCCCAGGCGTTTCGGAGCTCCTGGAGGCCCTTGCTGGGCCTCGGCGGCGGGCCCCGCTCGGTCAGGGCGGGCGGCCGAACGCCCTCCCAAGGGCCCCAAGAGACCCCAGACACCCGCCAGACGCCCGAAGACGACCCAAAGAAGATCGGGCCGGGCGAAAGGGGGGGATTGGGAAAGGGGGGGTTACGAAATTTGCTGCATGCAGCTGGTTTCGGCCTCACCGAGGGGCCCGTTCCTCGATACATAGCCGCCTCTGGCGCCGGGAGGCGCTGGGAAAATCAGCTAGGCGTCAGCTACGTGAGCTGATTCTCAAACCCCCCCTTTGCTATCCCCCCCTTTCGCCCGACCCGAGAAGACCCCCAAGAGGCTTTCAAAGAAAATGGAAGCATTGACAGTCTAAGGTTTATGCATGAGTGTGGGAATGCCCTGTCCTTCGGTCTTCCAGGCGTCCGAGGCCGTCTGGGAGGCCCGAAAGTCGCCCCAAAACCATCCGAAAGGGTTCCCAGGCAGTCCAAGAGAGCCCAAAGACGGCACAACAGGGTTCCAAGATGGCCCAAGAGAGCCCCATGTCGGCCCAAGATGGCCCCAAGACACCTTCCGAAGCATTCCACATCGTGACCTGGTCGTTTCGGGAGAACGCGGTTGGAGGAGGGGTGGCCCGAGGAAGCCTCCAGAGGCCCCCAGATGACGCCCAGGAGGCCTCCAGAAGGCCTTAAGAAAGCTTTGAACATTTCCGCGAGGCCCCCAGCCAGAGGCTCTCCAACGAGGCGCCTCCGCAAAAATAGCTGAGGAGGATGGGGAAGAATTCGCAGGGTAGGCGATAATGAGGAAAACGGAGCATAGAGGAAGGAGCATGAAAAACATTATTATTATTATTATTATCCAGGCGGAGGGCCCAACCATACGCAGTTGTGCATACTGCGTTGCGGGTACCAGTTTCGGTGGAGCTCCCTATGGGGCCATGAACCGTGTGAGGGGTGTCCCGAAATGGGCGGCGGTGCCATGCGGACCTTGCCACTGGGGCTTTCGGTGGAGCTCCCTATGGGGCCACGAACCGTGAGAGAGGTGTGCCGACATAGGGCGGCGGTGCCATGCGGACCCTGCCCTTCGGTGGAACTCCTTTATGGGGCCACGAACCGTGTGCCGACATGGGGCGGCGGTGCCATGCGGACCCTGCCCTTCGGTGGAACTCCTTATGGGGCCATGAACCGTGTGAGGGGTGTGACCCTCCCACTGGGGCCTTCGGTGGAGCTCCCTATGATGCTACGAGGGGTGTGCCGAAGTGGGGCGGCGGTGCCATGCGGACCCTTCCACGGAAGCCTTCGGTGGAGCTCCCTATGGGGTCACGTAGCGTGTGAGGGGTGTCCCGAAATGGGGCGGCGGTGCCATGCGGACCTTCCCGCTGGGGCCTTCGGTGGAGCTCCCGATGGGGACACTAAACGTGTGAGGGGTGTGCCGACATGGGGCGGCAGTGCCATGCGGACCCTGAGCTCCCTATTGGGCCACGAAACGTGTGAGGGGTGTGCCGACATGGGGCGGCAGTGCCATGCGGACCCTCCCGTTGGGGCCTTCGGTGGAGCTCATTATTGGACCACGAAGCGTGTGAGGGGTGTGCCGAAATGGGACGGCGGTGCCATGCTGACCCTCCCGCTGGGGCCTTCGGTGGAGCTCGTTATGGGACCACGAAACGTGTGAGGGGTGTGCCGAAGTGGGGCGGCGGTGCCATGCTGACCCTCCTGCTGGGGCCTTCGGTGGAGCTCCCTATGGAGCCACGAAGCGTTTGAGGGGTGTGCCGAAATGGGGTGAGGAGGAGGAGGAGGAGGAGGAGGAGGAGAAAGGAGGAAGGATCGCGGGGCACCGTCTCTTCAAAACGAGGACCCAACACCACAGGATGGTTGGGAATAACGGCGATGCCGGCAAAGGCAGCAATGAGATCGCTAAATTGGTTGTTTGACATTCCTTCCCTTCAGCCTGCATGCCTAACTGAACGGATCAAGGTGCATGGCTTGAAGCGCCAATACAGTCCTGTATATGCATATGTATGTTCATGTATGCAAGTGCATGTGGGTGGCCTCCTCTGGAAGGGCGGCAACACACGACATACATCCATATACACATACGTGTAGCACGTATATATATATATATGTATATGTATACACATATGCGTATGCATTCTTAAACTATGTATATCTATATAGATGTAGGCATGCATAGTTATTTGTATGAGCGTACGTAGTTGTCTTTCTGTTGTCTTGTAAAGCCTCACACGGAGAACGCTGGGATTCAGCAGCTCACATCGTCGGAGATCTTGGCCGACAGCCTCCCCGACTGGACCGCCGGGCGCGGCGACGGGGCCTCTCCCACGGAGGCGGACTGCAAGGCCGCGGAGGCGCCGCGCGGCGGGAGGAGGGGGCGGCGGCGGCGGCTGCGGCGGCGATGGCGGGGGCGGCGTGCTTTCGAGTCAGCGTCAGGGCGGTGGAATCTCACCGCCCACCAAAACTCGGGTTGACCCATAAGGGGGTCCAGCGGGAAGGGGGTGGTGCAATAGATATAGTGCAATAGATTTGTGGGGATGCAATACATTTGGGGCGTGCAATACATTAGTTGCAATACAATGCAATACAATTCTCCAGCGCAATACGTTTGCAATACAAATGCCCCACATCTATTGCACCACCCCCTTGCAGCTGGACCCCCTTTTGGGCCGCCCAGAAAACCACCCCAAGCCAATGACCGTTTTCTGATTCATTGTTTTGCCGGCGCGGGCCCTCGCACCCCCCCTCCCCCACCCCCATCGAGTAGATCTTGTCTGTTTGGGGCGCCTGTTTCAAGTCGGTGGAGGCTACCCCAAAAGACGCACTGATGCAAACAATCGTATCAAGCAGAGGTCCAGAGCCAGACCACCCCCCCTCCATCCCCTTCCGACCAATGTCGGAACGCCGAAAAAGGCAACGTCCACCAACACGAAGGCCTCAATGTGCCCTCCATTACCATCAGAGTGGGTGTCGGGGAACATTGGAAAAACATATCTTAAGCCCGTAGGTATCCCCCCAACCCGAAGTTCGGGTCTTCGGGTTGGGTTGGGTTAGTTTGGCAGGTAGTCAGAATCTGGGCCTCGCAGATGGGGTCCGAGTATCGGGCGCGCGCTAACATTTCAGACACGCGCAGAGGCGTGTGGGGGGAGGGGGGGGGGGCTTCTCAGAGACACCTCTGCTTCTTAGAAGGCGAGGGCCTTATCTATAGATAGACTCCCTCCCCCTCCCCCCACCCCCTTGTGCGCGCCGCCAAAACGTGGACGAGGGATCCATGGATCTGGCGCGTTTCGAGCAGGGGATCGACCACATGATCTGATGTACCCCACGCTTTTTGTTCGACGGATCTGCGAAACACAGTTCTGGGGCAGATGAATTATGCGGTCGATCCCGTTCCCTTTTGTTTTTTAGTTTTTTTTTTGTTTTTTTTTCCTTTCCGGCGAGAACCATCGAGGACCATCCTGGACCATCGAGCACAAAAAAACACGCACGAAACCGACACATGCACGGGAAATGGACGTCCGAGCGACGGCAAGATGGGGTCGGAGTCGATCTGCGTCGGGCCTGTCCCTTCATCAGGGCTCATGACGATCTCCTCCGATTCGATTCGGTTCGATTTCGATGGCTCTCGATTCCGATTCGATTCGGCTTCGGATTCCGATTGGGGCTTCGATTTCATGGGGAATGCACACCCCCGAAGCCTGCAGCCGGTGCCGCCTCCTGCGGCGACGGAGCGCGCCGATCCGGCACGGAGGCAGCCCCCGTTGCTGATCCGCGCGTCGCCGGCCCAGGTCTGCACTTCCTCGAGAGCAGGAGGAGGAGGAGGAGGAGGAGGAGGAGGAGGAGGAGGAGGAGGCGGAGGAGGGAGAGGTGGATGAGGAGGCGGAGGAGGAGGAGGAGGCGGAGGAGGAGGAGGAGGAGGAGGAGGAGGAGGAGGAGGAGGAGGAGGATCGCGCCGCACTGACGGTACAGCCGGCCCAGATTAGTAGCTCGACCCTGCCAGCTCGAGGGCACCTTTGTGCCCTATGGCTCGCGACGCGTGCCTTCTTACACTCCTATGGCGATGTGGCCCTCGGAAGGGTCTTGTGTCCTCTCGCGGGTCCTGTCCAATCAAGGCCGACCGTACATCGCCGATGCGGATCGATGTGTGGACCGATTTCTCCGGCCCCGACGGCGCCGATGCGTCGCCGACGTCGGCGGTGCGTCGGCGACGCATTGGCGGTGCGGTGGGAATTTCCGACCCTGTCTGTTCGGACCCCATTATCGGAGGCCTCTCGGGGAGCTTTTGGGCGTTTCGACCGCTTTCGGACGTCT